GGCAGTCTGGGCGGGGGAAGCACGAAGGGAGCAGACCAGTCCAGACGGGGGGTCAGGGGCCGCTGAACCCTCCCCCCAGAGGACTAGGCTCTGCCCTGGCTCCGGTGCCACGTGGAGCCTGCGCTGCGCCGTGTCTCGGAGACCCCATAAACCTGCTACTCTACAGCCCGTCCCGTCTGGCTGCGGACGGGGTGCAGGGTCGGGGCTCCCCAACGCGCTGTCACACCCAGTACAGCCCCCTGCCTTCCCCGGGGTCCCCTGGGGGCCCCCATCACTGCATGCAGCCCCCCCATCCCGTGCATCCCCCCCCGTCCCCGGGACCCCCATGGGCCGTGCAGCCCCCCCCCGGGGCCCCTCGGGCCGGGCGTGCAGGGCTCCACTCACCGATGAAGGCCTGCTTCTCATCCTCAGCACCCAGGCGGTAGCAGCGGGGGAAGAAGGTGTCGGCGTCGGCGTGGTCGAACCAATGCAGGTTCCGCAGGTTCAGACACAACCCCACCTGGCAGAGAACAGGGCCCCGTGGCTGGGACCGAGCCCCACATCCCGCCCGGGGGCTTCGACCTATGGGGCCCAGGGCCCAGCCCACCCCCCGCCCAGCGGGACCACGAGGCCAGTGCTCCCCAGGGGCTGCAGTGCCCAGCTGTGGGCTCTGTGATCCAGTCCCCCACTTGCTGCGCTGGGAGGGTGACTCCCACGGACTCACCCATGTGGATTGGCCCAGACACCTGGGCCCAGCCTGGGCAGGTAACAACCCTGTTCCCAGAGGGAGACACACAGGGAGGGAGGCGAGGACTGTCCCAGGCTGGGGTAGGGCCGGGAGCCGAGTCTCGCCTGGGCTAGGGGGAGGGAGGATGTTTTAGACCAGGGGTCTCCAACCTTTTCACACCCAAGATCACTGTGTAAAAGACAGACCAAGCCAAGATCTACCCCACCCCTTCCTCTCTATTCTCCTCCTCTCCATCACTTGCTATCCCCAACTCTTATACCGCTGCTTTTTTATCCAATTCTTCTGTAGAATGAGGTTTTCCCAACATCTGGCCTGCCTAGACTGGACCAAATGACAGGAAAAACCCCTTCTTTCAGAAGCCCCCTTATTCCTCGTGGAAATAGGAATATAGGGTGACCGAAAGAGCTTGTTTGCTCTTCCACTTAAAAAAACGGAAGAACAAACTCATCCCTGGTTGCAGAAGAGTTTTTCTGGGATATCTCTGGAATCCTGAAAAACTCCTGCAGTCTAGCCGGACCCTTGCTGGGTTGAGACAGGATGTGTAGGCTCCGGGGTGGGAATGAGGGATTTGGCGGTGGGAAGGGGTGAGAGTTGCAAGCTCTGGGAGGCAGTCTGGATGCAGGAAGAGGTGGAGAAGGGGACGCTGGCTCGGGGAGGGGGCTCCAGGCCGGGCAGTGTCGGGGTCAGATGGAGGGTTGGGGTAGTAAGCAATCCACAGGCTTGTGGATGTGAGGGTTCAGGAATTTGGGTTGGGGTATGTGAAGGGCTCAGGGCAGGGGGTTCCAGTGTATGATAGGCTCAGATCTAGGGTCTGGGGGAAGGGAGGGAGTGCAAGAGTGTTCTGATGTTGTCGCCAGATGGGGGCTTGGCCCCAATAGGGGGTTTGTTGGCCAGACTTCATTTTTAAATAAAATACTGTGTCAAACACACAAAGTTTCTGCATTGTCTTTATTTCTGAGAAGGGCAGGGGACCTGTTTGGAGTCAGGGGTCACTGACTCACTGAAAAGTCAGTTGGGGTCGCACAAGAGTTGCAAAAAAACCAAAACTCCTTCAACCCCCCCTCCCCCGCAAGCCTCTA